ATCATTGACAAAATATATTTTACTTTTAATTAAAATAAATTTCATCAATAATCTTTTTTAAATGTAAATATTTTTTTGTAAATATAAGTACTTTTTGATATATTTGTTTCATTTCATAGATGTAAGTATTTTTTGTTCAAAAAATGTTTAGAAACTTAATTATTCAAAATATGAAAGTCTGTTGTTTTTTTCTCATTATTTTACCATATTAACAAGTTTTAGGGGTTATAAGAATGTATCCAACATGTTTTAGAAAGTCCAAATGCTTATTTGTTCCAAAAAATTGTCCAATGACTTAATCATTCCAAACATTAAAGTCTATTTGGTTTTTTAGACTTTTCCCTAAAGAAAAATGTGCTTTGTAGTTCGTGTTCTTCTTGTTGTTGTTATATTTAGTTCAGGAAGATGTAAGCGGCTTCCAATTACAATTGAAGAAGGCCGAATGGATTCCATTCCTATTCCGAGTTGGCGTTCACCGAACAGAGTACAATAATGTGAAACACCAAAAGATAAATGTGATTGCCATTAACCCGGTCGATTTTGCAGCCGATACAAGACTACTTTTAGAAGACATATCTTTGATGAAAAGTTCATAACTTAGTTAATCGATTTGGTTTTATTTGCTGTTGAACAATCTATTAGTTGTTGTGGATTAGTGGATGATGATTATTATTTGTTTAGATTGGTTGATTATGATTGTGGTTTGAATTTTGTAGAGTACTTTTTGAATTCAGAGTATTGATGATTGATTATGGGTATTTAAATTTTGTAGAGTACTTTTTGAAATTTGTAGAGTACTTTTTCAATTCGCGACTCTGGTCCTTAGGGACCAGAGGATAAGGGTGACAAAAAATGACCTAACCCATTAATCTAACTCGAACCCAACCCAGAATTAGCAGGTTGGGTTGAGATTTTCTATCCATTTAAATGAATGGATCAACCAGCCTAACCATTTAAATAAATGGGTTGGGTTGAATTTTTCAACATGTTTACAACCCGTTTTCAACCTGTTTCCAACTCATTTAAAATATTATATTATTTTATTTTATTTTAATATTATATCTAGTATTCTAATTTTTAATATTGTTTTATTCTTAATTAAAAATCCTACCGTCATGAGATGAAAGTTCAAATTCCAATCGCCTCCATTATTTTTAATCATCATGAAACCCTAAGAAAACCTTTTAGTCCATTACTCTATTATCGCCTCCAAACTTTGGGATTGGTGAAAGTGTAAGTCGAGTTACTTAGAATTTAAAATTTTCCAATTTATTTTGAACAATATATTTGTTGTGGTCGTGTTTTATTCAAACTTTAAACAATTTCTTTGTATTTGTGGTTGTGTTGTGAAAATTAAATAGTCTAGTATTTTTTTATTTAAATTTTTAAAATTAAATGGGTCAACCCAAGTTCAACCCATTTATTTAACAGATTGGGTTAAGAAAGTTGTAAACATGTCAACTTGCGGTCAACCCGCAGTCAACAGGTTGGGTTGGGTTGAGATTTTCAACCTGTTTAATAAATGAGTTGAACCCGAACCCAACCCAACATGACTCATTGCCACCCCTACCTGAGAAGCTCTAGTTGGTCTTGCTGTGTATGATGCAAGCTTTACCATGTGGTATTTCAGATCTCTAAAGACAGGTCTGCAGATTTTAGACTTGTCTTGTAAACACATTTCAGATCTCTGAAGACAAGTTTGTACATTTAAACTTCCATACTTGGCCCACGTTTCAATCAATCTCACTAATTTAGGATGCAATTGATTTTCTTCTTGGGTTAATTAATTCGTGTGGTAAGTGATGAGCCGTGGAACCTTTACACAGACGGGCTAAATAGGAGACTCAGAAGCTCTGCATGTACCATGCAAAGGCTCTGTGTTTGGGAGTTGAGCTTTGTATCCGAGTACTTGGCTATTTGCGCGCAAGACTGTCTTCATGCCCTCTATGTCCGAGCTCTGTACCCGAGCTCTTGGTTCCAGGAAATTTCATGACTAAGTCCTCTTGTAATAAATCATCTTCAAATTTCGTGTTCATTTTTATTGACCAGATGGGCTCTGGCAGAAGGCCTTTAGTTGGCCTTGCTTTTGGTTGGTGAGTTTAGAGGGGCTCTGGTTCTTAAAGATCAGAGGAGCTCTGGTTAGTCTTGCTATGTATGATGCAAGCTTTACCATGTGGTATTTTTCAAAGATATTGGGATTTGAATAACTATGAACTCAAGTTCTTCGGGCTTCGTCTTAAGATTTGACATTTAGGCGCTCTTTGGGTCTTCTCTTGAAATAAGTCTGAAGAGTCATTCTTCAGAATTATGCTTCAGAGTTATTTCAATAGTACAAGTCTGAAGAGTCATTTTTTAGAGGCTTCGTGTCTGGGAGTTGAGCTATGTATCCGATTACTTGGCTATTTACATACAAGCCTTCGATCTTCATGCCCTCTGTGTCCGAACTTTGTATCCGAGCTCTTGGTTCCAGGCAACTTAATGACCAAGTCATCTTGGACTCAATCATCTTCAGATTTTGTCTTCATTTTTGTTGACCAGAGGGCCTTTGGTTGACTTTGTTTTTGGTTGGTGAGTTCAGAGAGGCTCTGGTTGGTCTTGTCGGTATGATGCAAGTTTTACCATGGGGTATTTTAGATCTCTGAAGACAAGTATGCAAATTTAGACTTATAAACATGTCATTTTACTTTCCAATTTGTAGATCTCGCTGCATTGCAGCGGGTATACTACTAATATATGATGAGAGCGTTCAAATACAAACCGCCTCAATTTATACAAACCATCCAAATTAATAACAACAATTCACATAAATCCATTTGTTTTTCTTTATTTTTAATTTATAAGGATATTATTGCCTATTGAGATTACAATAGTTATGTTTGATAAGTATTTAATAATAATAGATAAGTTTTGATAATTCTATAATTTTATATAAATATTGATTATATTTTTAAATATATTGTTTTGTTTCATTTTGTAAAATCCATGAATAAGTTGATTTATTTACAAATTCCATTAATGAAATCATGTTATCCAATTTTCAAAATGTTTTATTCATGAAACTAATTTCAGTTTGGTTAGGACCCATGAAACTACTTTCATTAATGAAATCATATTATTCAGTTTTCAAAATGTTCCATTGACTGAACCATATTTAGTTTCATTAATAAAACCAATTTCATTTTGGTTATGAACCATGAAACCAATTTCACAAATGAAATCATGTATTCAATTTTCAAAATGTTTCATTCATGAAACCAATTTCACTAATGAAATTATGTTATTCAATTTCACCAAAAATGATAATCCATCACCATCTTCATGAGATTAAAATTAACAAATACATGATTGTTCTTCTTATATATGTTTATATAAATAAAATGCTTAGGTAGGTTCTTACAAGCCATTTTGTATAAATCCCACACAAAAATATTATTGAAATTGATGATATAAGGTACACTTCTATCACCAAAAATGGAGAATTAATTCAGGAAAGTCATAGCATCATCCATCCAGAATCTAATCCATTCAGATTCTGCCCATTTGTGGAAGTTGTCAACTGGCTTGAACCAACTGCATTATACCTGTAAATTAACCAAATCAATGTAATTACTTACTTCATCATCATCATTTTTGTATTTGTGTGTCTGCTATATACATACATACATACATATATATATATATATATATATATATATATAACTTATAAGAAAGACAAATTAAGATTTACCCCATTTGCAAATTGGAGTTGCAATCCAAAGGCTGAAAGAAATCCTGAGATTGAGGATGTTGATGATGTTGTTCATATGAACAACAGTGTTCACCTGGTGCAGGACCTGCCCCTGCCCCTGCCCATGATGGTCCTGCTTGATTTTCTGCATAAACTTCTTCCAGCTGCTAAATTACACAGATTCATTATTTCTTGATTTTATACCTACCTTCAAAAACTCATCTTTATCATCTTTCATTCTTATATATTGATTCTGTCGTCTGTTTAAATAATTTAGTACCTTATTCTGCAACGCTTTGTTAGCTTCAAGCCACATCCTTTCCTGTCATTATACCGACTCACGTGTAAATAGTCACCCGGGCAGGCGTGTATATATAAAAATTCAAAGAGATCGAGCTTGAAAAGCATACCTGAACTTGAAGTTCAGAAAGCCGGTCCAGCATTGATTGTGTCTGCGATATAAGCAATCAACAAGAATCCATTTATTACTAATCAAACCAATTACAGTATCATATATTTTAAAGATCATGTTGAAGATCTAAAGGAACTTCTATTTCTTTATTTTAAAGCAAAACTATACCATAACTAGTAAAATGCAAAAGGGATATATACAAATAACGTGGTTTGCAAAGTAAACCTCCTATATATATATATATATATATATATGTATATGTATATATATATATAGGTAAAATTAAATGTACATTACCCTTATAGAGCGGATTTGCCTCAAAGTAGAGTCTAGTTGTCGTTCGAGTTGTTCAAGTTCCTTGAGACTGAGTGGCCCCAAGTCCTCACCAAAAATTTGTCTGTGATATATACGAATCATGTAAGCCTCATTAGAGTACCTTTCTATATATGTTATGCGTTTGTAAAAACCGTATGAAACTTGCCTTTGGTACTGCTGCAGAGACTCGTATTTGGCTTTCAGTTTCATATACTCCTTGTAGCTGTTTTGCTAAAGGAATAAAAGGCCGATAGTTTTAGTTCAGGATATCCCCTATATATATGAGTTAACATATGGAACTATATACATACATGCACACACATATATGTATATGTATATATATATATGAAGAAACTAAAAGCTATATATATATATACCTCAGCATTGGTGGCTGATCTGTCAACTTCCATTGAACCATAAGTGCAATTCTGGTACCTTTCAAGCATCTTGAGCATGCTGATGATCAGATAAATTTCTCAAGTTCATTAAAAGTTTTGATGATAAAAAAAGAGTAAGTTGATTTGATGTAGAACAAGAAAGAAAAGAAATTTGTCCATCTCATTTGCAAATCATGATCACTTACGAATTTGTGTTAGGATGATTTGTTCTCATGATCATGATGTATTCGATGCATATATAATCAGACCAAATTGTAATAAGGGAAGCGTTCGTTAACATAATATGCTCTCGTATAAAATCCAAGTTCAAATGTGTCATTTTGTAGTCAATTATGAAATGTAAGTGCATTGCTCTTGAAATAACCGAAAAGAAACCGGATTTACCAATAGAGCCAACCTCCAAGCATCTTCAAAACTATTTTAGGTAGAAAAAACGTGAACACAATGTTTCTAGCAGCTTAATGGAGAAAGATGAGACCAAGTTCATGTTGTTGCTAACTACTGTTCTATGTAATATATAGTTACAGTCCGATGAAAAGGAGAGTTAAGGTGAGAAGTGTAAAAAATGATCTTCACCATTGGATACACATTAGAATGAGATATACCGAGATGAGATGCACCAGATTCTATCTTCGTATCAACCGCGATTCATGGGTGAATTTGAGATTAAAAGTAATTAAGCGTTCAGATCATTTCTTACGCTTCTCACCTTAATTCTCCTTCTCACACAATCTTTCGCCTCATATAAAGTGGGGTGGCTAAAATGGAGAGTTGTCACGTGGTATTATGTAATGAGAACATCCCGGTAAAACTAAAGGGCAAATGTTACAGCTTACAAGGTAGCCATCAGATCCAGAATTCAGAACAAGTTTGTTGTATGGGTTGAGTATTGGGTATTAAGGAAGTCCCATGAGAGGAAGATGGAAGTTGTAGAAATGTGGATGCTAAGATGGATTTGTGGTAGAACTATGTTTGACAGGATTACAAACAAAGTCTTGGTGAGAGACCTATGGTTGCTCTAGCGAGGAGGTTAAACATGTGACAGTTGAGGTTACGAGGAGGAGGGTAAGCCGAGGAGGACGTGTGATGATCAACTGAAATCAGACATGTTGGCTTTTAGCATTCCAAGAACAAGACCTCTGATAGGGATTCTTGGAGACACGAGATTGAGGTAGGAGAATATGGGGATCTTTACATAACATAGAAGGGACGAAGAGAGCTGCACAGGTAGAGGTTCAGTCAGGTTAGTGTAATAGGCTTTAAAAACCTTTCTGTTTTGTAGCTCTTTAACTGTAGTTGACTAAACAAGTTAAATTTGTTTAACCGAAAATAATTTTTTTTGTTTTAAGTGACATGGAAAATAAAATTGATCAAAATGCAACAATACAAAGTTTGTCATGGTTCTTAATGTAACGATTAAATATATAAACTATCAAATTCATCTATCACGTACATATTTTGACCAATGACTGGTTAGCAAGTTAAATGATCTAGTATCGGAGAGGGAAACGACCAGATGGAACGCTTTAGAGATATTGAGGGGTTTTAGTAGTGAAAGGGAAACAATTGAGAGGACACTGATGAAACAGAAGTCCAAAAGAAAGAGAAGAGAAAAGGGAAGGAAGAAGTAGATAAATTAAAATTATTACATTAAAAATCCATCATCAAAATATCAATCAATTACCAACTTATAAAGACACGTGACATGTTTCTTAAAAGAATATTCGTGTCACTTTTAACATTTCACCGTGACGTGCGAAATTGGTACTAAAACAAGAGGATTTAAAACTGAGCCAGAATGGGCTCAACAGTCAGCCTATCTTTCCAGGTGCACGCATAAAGACATGATTAGTTTCACAAATCTCAGTACACTGACCATAATAAACTTCTTCTCGATGTACCGAAATAAAGGTTTGATTTAACGGACCAGGTACAACATCACATTTTACACCTGTTTGTTAAATTACCATTAGACACACTAAGCAAACTTCAAACATCATTGTATATTATACATGAATGCATTAATTTCCCTCTTTTTGTTATACATGGTCTTGTCAATCATGAGAACCCTTAACAAATTTGTGTCATTGATTCTTTGACATCAGGTCATGGGAGTTGTCTCCAACCTCTCTGAAAAAAAACATTCTAGCCACTAGAAACCAGGAATATATGACATAAATAGTCATTTCATAATTCATCCTATAAAATTTATTTCTTACCCATTTTTCGTCCTAAGTTCTTTAAAAAGTCATCACATCCGTACGTAACTTACAACTTCTCAACTATCCGATGGATGTTTTAGAAAATTTTATTTGAGTAAACATGCATATCTCCACGGGGCACCTCCGAGAGTGTCACATGCATTGTGACCAAAACCTTCGCAAGGGTAAACATGCATCTCCGTAAATGATTGAATTGGATAAGAACTAAACTTAAAGCCATGCATGCTCCCTGGCCACTTGCGGAACGGCCTCGAGTGCATGACCACCTCTCACATTTTTTTTAATTTTTGGTACGTCCCTCCATAAGTTGAAGAATGGTTACTTGTATAGTGATGACGTTTTTAAAATCTTAGAAAAAAATGGTTAAAAGGTAAATATAGTCGGCTGAAATAGCTATTTTTGTGTGTCTCTCTCTCTATGTGGGAAATGAAGAAAGTGATTAAACAAACTAGCTTCATGTGAAGGATATTGCTTAACTTATATATAAACACAAAACGTGCAAAATTTTGTAAGGATTTATTTGTGACCATATTTCTTGAAATGATGTACCTCACGTATTATTAAGAACATTTTCAACAGATTCTTTAAAATAAAGAAAATAGAGATTTTAAGGATTTTGGACATGTTTTTTCTCCATCAAATTTTCCAAAACTATTATTCAAAATGGAGAACGTAGAGAGAGTAAGAAAATCTCCAAATCTGAAGGACATCCCAAAAATGATTACAATAACAGAGAAATGTTTTTTGATATATCCTTAACAATACTAAACTTTGAAGAGATAAATAATATTTCATTAGATAAATGAATATTTTAATGGTATAATCAATATTATATGGAAAATTCGTTAAAATTGAATATAAATTTGTTTTAAAAAAGTTTAAGTTCCATTCTCAATTTTGAAAATAAATTAGAGAATCTGATTGTTAGATACTCTCAAGATGTCAAATTCATATGTTATTTTCATGAACTTTATAAAGGAAAAGACATGAAAGAGAAGAATACTTGCTCCTAACCGTCAAAGTTCATATACGAAACAACATTATAAATTTTATAACAAAAATATTGTTTCATCTATGAATTTTCTTAAACCTATCTTAATTATCTCACTAACTTTCTGGTTTCACTTATGAACTTTGATAAAAATTTTGGAACAACCAAAACTCATACACGAATGTAAAGAAATTTAATTCCAAAAATAACCAATTTTAAAGGATACATGGAATTAAAACCGACTTTTAGGGATAAAGGAAAATAATTTAATTCCAAAAATAATTAAATTTATCTTCAAAAAATAAAACAAAATTTGTTCCAAAATTGCCTTCATTTAATTTCTTTCATTTTTCATGAGTTTATAACCAACATTTTAACCATAGCCGTTAATCAAAAAAAATGAAATGCTCAAATTAGGTTTAACAAATTATCATGCCTATATATCTATAGGGTTGGGGTCTCGTGAGACTGACCTGTCTTCGTGAGACCACAAAAATTAAACTAAACCTTCACGGTAGAACATTGTGAAGATACAAAAACACCGAACTTTCATAGTATTTTTCTGTGAAGGTTCAGTGTTAATTTATGGTCTCACGAAAACATGTCGGTCTCACATGATCCCAAATCTATATCTATATCTATATATATATATATATATATAAATAAATGCATTAGGGGTGAATGTGGAGTCTAATCAAGGGATACCATCATATATTTATATATCCATACACATGAAAATGATACATATTTTTCTTGCATATAGGGGCATGGTCAGACAATATATATGCCTTTGAAAACTAGACAAAGTCACCATTGATGAGAAAGTAGCTAGGGTGGATGACAATGTTTATTAAGCAGCAAGGAAGTCTCACCACATTAATTCATGCTTAGGAGTTACCTGATCATCACCCTATCCAAATGTGAGTTGTATGAAGAGTTGAATCAAGAAATAGGACAAACTGAGGTGTAATCATCTCTTCATCTTTGAAACTTGAGCCATTCCTCAAAAGAATCAGTTAAGAACAAGGGGTTTCTTCTTTGGGCCATGTCCTAATCTGATGGATTCAAGTAAAAAAGAAAAGAAAAGAAAAACCAAATCCTACATGACTCTAAATTCAGCTACCTAGCATACAGAAAGCTTGATCACATTGACAAAGCTTAATCTCCAACAACATCATTATCTTACTAATTACTTCATTTTAAGCAAAACCCAAGAAGATTGATTCCTGTTAACATGAATTAATCATGCAGCAAATGATAGTTTAACCTAGCAGCTACAAGATCAATTGAACTTGGATATGCATGACTAATCAAGAAAAGGATTTTTTTTAAAACAAAAGAGGATTGATTCTGATCTTGGATACTTTTCTTCACTCGTTTCCTTTGTGATTATTGCAACTTTATGTTGACATTAGAAGATTTGTATCAGAAACTGACAGATCAAAAGCCTAACACAAACCTACTTGCTAAACCTTCAACAAAAATTTCTTGTAAATGAGCAAGAACACAACTTCAGCTCAAAAACAGCTAAATCCTTCATCAAACCAACAAACAAAAGAGAACCCATATTCTAGAAATCTGCAAAAAGAAAATTAAACACCAACAAGGATACATGCACACATACATCTATATATACATATATATATATAGAGAGAGAGAGAGAGAGAGATCTAGCTAGAGAGAGAGAGAGAAAGAAATACTTGGAGGTGCTGCAGAACTCATAGAGCTTGCCACGATTAGAGAAGATGATGAGGGCAACCTCAGCATCGCATAGAACAGAGAGCTCGTAAGCTTTCTTCAGGAGCCCATTTCTTCTTTTAGCAAAAGTCACCTGCCGATTTATCTTGTTCTCGATCCTCTTCAACTCTACTCTTCCCCTCCCCATAATATATATTCCAACCAAAAGTTCATCTACTAATTGTTCTTTCTCTATCCCTTCACTCTATCCTATCCAAAATCTTGATACCCAGATGAAAAAAAAAATCAAAGAAAATTTAAAAAAACAATACAATTTCTAGAAATTCTCTGAACAATATTGATCATACTGAAATTATCAAGTTGTATTTGGAAAGAGTATTAAAAAAAACACAAACAGAGAGAGAGAGAGAGAGAGAGAGAGATCTGGTGGTCTGGTTTTTAGGGTTGAAGAATTTTGTGATGATGAAATTTGGGGGTGGTGTTACTTCAACGTTCAAAGCTTCATGCTCTTTAACCTACTTGAGAAACACAAGCAAGCATCAAGAAAATGGGTTGTATTTAACCCACTTGCAACGAAGCGCGTGATTCTCACTTTCGTGGAATTCGACCGCTAGTGAGCGCGTAGGATTCTGTCATTTGTCACCAACTTTCAATGCAAACTACACGTGTCGTCTTGTAAGAGGCTAATTTAATCTAAGATAGCATTTTTAACTAGCGGTCTTTGTCCGTACACAATCTTTTTTTTCTATCTGATTTACCATCGAATTTTGAAGAACGGGGAGATTGGTCGTAAACTCGTGAAATGTATCTTTATCTGATGCTTTCTTTATTCTCATACATATATATATATATATATATATTAACACCGTTTGTCCATTATTAAATGGTTTGGTACAAAATAATTAAGAGTTTTTTTTTATAATATAATTTAAAATAAAATATAACAGTTTACAATGAAATTAGGACGCTGAATGGTTAAAGAAGGTCTAAGATACAAAATTATTTCAAAAATTTTAAAATCATCAAGAGACAAACTTTTTTTGTCAAACAATATTAATCTTTTAATGGTTCAATGGTTATCTCTTAATAGAACTGTTAAGAGATAAACAAACAACTCTTAACACTGAAACTTTTTTTTTTATATTTTCAATACATGAATTAATCTGATTTTAACATTAAAGAGAATACAAGTAACAATCTTTTAAAAGAAAAATCACAATTTAGTCTTTTTTTTTTATTTACCATCAAATTCCGGATTTCATTTTTATCAATTAATAATCAAATTTAATTTCATTTTTCATTAAATTATATACATATTGAGCATTGTTTTTACAATAATAAAAAAAAAATTGTAAATACAAGCAACTATCAACAAAATTTAAAAATATAAATACCAAAACATATTGTGACAACAAAGGTTAACTTAACTGCTAATAAAACTTAAGTATTTATGTATACTTTTCAGAGTAATCAATTCGAGTCCTGCAATTAAGTCCATCGGGAGTCCTGCAATTAGTTGAGATACGTGCAGCCAGCCCACACGTCCATGGTTAACAAGAAAAAAACATCGTATCTGATAAAATAAATTTAACTGGATTACTTATTTGTTTTCAATCAGTTTAGTCCCATTTGTGAAACTTGGCAAACAAAGGGATAGGAGATATGTGTTTAAAAACACATAAAGCAACTAAATGTTGATGTTGATGTTATTATGAACTAAAATTCATATACATGATGGTTGATAACAAATTACTCATGTCAGAACTTTTAACTGAAATGGGATCGGATGGTGTAGATAGTTGAGGTTTAGTTTCTTGTCAGTCATGATTCTGGATAGAGAAAGGCGATGGTGTATATCAAGTGGTCGTGCGACCATGAATCGTGGATGACGGATCATAACGAGGTTGATTTGAAATTTGACATGATTTAGATAAGAAAAGGTGGATGCTTCGTATGTGAAATAAAATGAAGTGAATGTCACTATTATACATGAGGAATCATTGTATCTTTTTTATCTTTTACAACTTAAATATAGGAGATGACATTTCATAATTACTAACAACATTAATTGTAAATATAAAATTATAGAAATTAAATTACTGGTATTTATAATTTAATTAAAGGGTAAAGAGCATTTTTCTGTTAAGAGACCAAATACAAGATAAATTATGTTAATTAATACAAACCAGATGTTAAATTTTTTAAATACACAAGATATGTTAATTAATAGATGTCAATTTAATTTATTATATTTTATATAACAATGTTAAAAAAAATTGAATTTGTATAACTCAATACAAATTTTAAAAAAATATTCCACATTAAATAATGACTAAATATATTGAATAATAATAAATATAAAAATAATTAATAGTAATGAATAGATTAAAATTAATAATTTGAAATTAGTAGTGATTAATTATTAAAATGCATTAATAAGTTTAAATTGTTATTAACTAATAATTATTAATCAATATTGTAATTGAAAAATGTGACAATAAGCTCCTCATAAGCTACTTCACTTAGTTTTTCAATAAGTTAACTTATATGTTAGCTTATGCTCATCCATTAATGTACTCAAAAAATAAGTTAGCTTATGTTTATCAAACGATGTCTAATTTTAAAATTGTGAAAATTCAAAATGTTAAAAAAACCTTAAGATATGAAACAAGATATTCATTAAATCGATAAACGGTTTGTATGGTTAAAATTCAAAACTTCGTCTATATACATACATAGGTAAATACATGCATGTGTATACATATTTACGTGTATATTTATATGAGTAAAAGCTTCCAAGTTTAAAAAGTATAGCGGTATTTCAAAAACATGTGTAATATGTATAACGTATACTGATCTGATTTTACACAACAAAACATGGTTACATTTTTCTAATTTTTTTTGAAGTATATAATATTTATATTCGGCAAATAAAACAAATAAACTCACACACCCTCTTCACATTTAGTGAAGAAGTTTGAACTCGTGACTTTCGAGGAGGCCAAAGACTCACATACCGCTAGGCCAAAGACTCTTTGGTTACATTTTTCTAATTTTGTTATAGGAAAAGTTACTGACATGTTATATTTGTGTATATTTTATCTAGGGGTGTTCAAAAAAACCGTCAGACCGCTCAAACCGGCTGAACCAAGTCAAACCGGATCGTTTTTGGCGGTTTGAGCGGTCTGGCGGTCCGGTCTGGTTTGAAAAATAGCCGAAACCGGGCGGTCTGGTCGGTTTGCCGTTTAGACTTTTTTTTGGGCGGTTTGGACCAACCCGACCGCCATATATATATATATATATATATAAAATTTTATTTTAGTACTATAATTATTCAGCCCAAACATAAAAGCCTTATCCAAAAGATTTTCTAAATCCTCTAAATCTAAATCCCTAATTTGGTAATTCCTAACCTAATCGGCTAATCCAAACATCCAGTAATCCACCGTCCACGATTACACGATATCCACTATCCACCTCTTTTTCGTTCCTAATCGTCGCGACGTCGCCTAATTCATCTAAATCCCTAGTGTTTTGACTTTTTTTAAACAATGAACACTAAGATTTGGATTCTATTTTGACTTTATTTTTTGGTATGTTTTACATATTTATTTGTTTGGACTTTGGACTTTGGATTGTTTAAATTGGGTTTAATGTTTAAAACCCATTAAAGGCCCAAACCGCCTAAACCGGTCAGACCAGACCGCCTTTTCGTGGTCTGGTTTGACCGGTCTGGGCACTTGGTTTCAAACCGCTCAGTCTGAAAATTTCACAAACCGCCATTACGATTTGGTTTGTGGTCTGAGGGCTTAAACCGCCCAAACCGGACCGCGAACACCCCTAATTTTATCCTTTAAACCTTGGCTTCAGGTAAGAGATGGTATATGATATATGTTTGGTTTGGTTTATATTGCATGGGTCCTTGCATATCACAAATATTTAGTGGTGCTTAAAAAAACTAAAATCGGATAATCCATCTAAACCGAATGAGATTTTGGTTTAACGATATTGGGTTATTTGGATTAAACCACTCGGTTAACAAATAAACATATCATCCGCTTTGGTTTGACTTTTTTTTAAACTATTTTGGTTAAAACCGAATAATACATTGTATTGTTATATATATATATATATATATATATATATATATATATTATTCCTATACAAATAAACTAAGTAACACGTTATACTATTATTATTTAATAATTTTTAATAGATATTTGTTTTGTTATTTGATACTAAATGATGTTTTTACTTGATATATGATGTGGTTTCAAGATATAACGTTTTTGGTTTGATTCTAGTTAAATTTTTTAGTATTATATAATTATATCCCGGAAGTAATGGGCCTTTTTTATTGAGAGAATTGTTGGAGGCAAGTATCAGTCAAAAAATATGAACTCTTACTCAGTTCACCTAGTAGTGTATTGAATCAAATTAAATAATTCAAAAAACAATTAGAACGAACCTTATTCGAATCTTTTGTGCATCGATTTTGATGTTGCAAATACGTTGATATGGGATCTTGAAGCTAGTATGGATGATATTTGTTAGTGTCCATAGAAGAGGAGCTATATTGTTGGATATTATTGAGCAGGGGTTGTTCTAGGAGTTGGTTTCGTTTGGTGTTTTTCATGGTGTTATAATGTCCTAAGCTGCTTCGTATTGCTCTTAGTTTAGAACATCTTGGACTTGGTGATTCTAATGGTCTCTCTACTGTTGTCGCCTTCCATTTTGATGAATAGTGGATAGTATGACACGAATAGGCATAGCAACGGAGTGGGGATGAGACGGGTTATGTAATCCCCGACCCTGGCCTCGGTTTTTAGTAACAGCCTCTGGCCCTGGTCTAGGTTCCCGATAGGTACGAGGATTAACATCTCGTCCCCATTTTATTTTCAGGTCAAATCCCCGATCCTCGTCCCTGATCAAGACTTAATTTTAGAAAATAAATAATATATATATATATATATATATATACATACATACGTATATTATATAAAATATATTAATAAAATTATATAGCGGGTACGGGGCAGGTGGGGGGGATACAATACTCGGCCCCCGGCACTTAACCCCAATTTGAGTCTATCGGGGATCCCCAGTCCTAGGACCCGTTTTAGCAGGGAATTCCCGTCCCCGTTCGGGTTAGGTGAGCCGGGTTCCCTACCGAGCCGGGGCAAATCA